CATGGCTGCGCTCTTAGGACAGATGCTGTCCCCAGTTGAGTTCATCAGGGACGGCAAGTGCTGCCTCATCAAGGAGAATGACTTGAACAAATTGGTGGCGAAGAAGTCTTTACCACAGGTGGTCGAGGCTGAGGACATGCTCGACATTGCCAGGGATTGGTTGGACGACCTCAATATTAGTGGACGGCCGAGGTTGTTGCTGCTGGCAGCGCACGGTTGCAGGATGATATACTTCCTCCTTGGCAAAGGCAAGGAGACGCTCGAGCACGTGCAGTACACCGACGCGGCCAGCGCATTCCAGGTATTCGTCAATGAGTTGCAGAAAGCCACAGGATCGCTGATCGACAACCCGTTCGTATCGGCTCGCAGGGCGACCGACAGGAAGCCAGATCAGGTGTTCATGAGTTTAACAATACATATAGATAATACTACATATGATTGTTGTGGGTTGCTGATTTGGTGTGTGATGTCAACCACCATATCGTTCCGGCTCGAAACCTAAAATTCTCAAATCGAAATGGTTTGTCGACACCAGTCGACCAAGCATTTCGATATCGAAACACATAGACGATGCCAGACAACCTACCATTCTCAAATCGAAATGGTTGGTCGACATCAGTCGACCAACCATTTCGATATCGAAACACCTAGACGATGGCAGACAACCTACCATTCTCAAATCGAAATGGTTGGTCGACATCAGTCGACCAACCATTCCGATATCGAAACCCATCGACGATGTCGGACAAACTACCGTACAGTTACCAGTATGATTTCCCAGGCACGCGCAGTACTACTTAGTCAGCCTGTCCCTAGCAGCGGTGCTAGCTCCAGCGGGAATATCCAGCAGATCGCCAGCGCTGTCGACGAAAAGTCGCCGCTGCACCAGATGCAGAAGCTCGGTTTCACGACGCATGCAATCTGCAAGGAGAAGGGTTCCAAGGTCGTCAAGGGTGCAGATGGCTCCAAGCTCTTCCTGCTGGCTGATATCACAGATGACGGTGCACGCTTGGTGCCGACAGGCGTCGATGAGGATGGCGACGTCAAGATGTTGAGCCTCGCGGAGCTGAAAGACAAGTGGGTGACAACCACTTCGAAGCCGCAGACGTCAATCGACTACATGCAGTGGACACCTGATTGCTCAGCCCAGTGGGCAGTGGACGCAGTGAAAGCACGAGTTTTGGCTGCGCTGGTCGACTATTCAGCGAAGGTTTGCGCGGCCAGCGCTGGTGAGAAGTTGACGCTCTACGTGAACCCCATGGCCGTCAAAGCCAAGTGCAGCTTCGCCCAGAACACGTTGGCGCTGGCGCCGTGCACTCGCACCGCCAAGGACCGCCCCTCGACGGAGCCGTGCCCCGACAAGCACATCGACTTGGGGGTGGTGATCGACAAGCCAGAGAAGGTGAGCTTCAGCCGGGCACCGCACGTGACCCACAGCAAGGCCAGCGGCAACTTCACGCCCCCTTTCTGGTTCGTGCAGGCGGTGCCCGAGGGCCACGATGGTAACATGAAGATGGTCACGGAGACGATCGACCTTTCAATATTGGTCAATTCGGAGCTGCAGTCGCACGCCAAGATCTTCATCCCCATCCTGCGCAACAAGGCAGCGATCAAGGAGGGCGACGTGCTGACGGTCGCCTCGGACACCATCGCGAACTTCTCGCCGAAGAAGGCGAGGTTGAGGTGAGCCAGCAGTGACCGCCCTCGCTCCAGCGAGCTCAGAGGCCCTCGGACGAGGGCAACGAGCCGCCCTCAGTTCTCCCCTCGCCCGTCTGACCCAGGTGAGTCAGACTAGTCTTTGGGGGCGGCGGGTGGCACAAGTGGTGTTTCAGGGCGAAACAAACCTGAAGAGCCACCCCGCCCGCCCCGCGTTTTTCAGTTTGGCTTGTTTGTCAATGATGATTGTGATTTGGCCAGTGGCACAGTTCGCATGCGCCGCCGCCACTCATTTCGCCGCAGCGTTCGTGGCCGCATAGGAGCTCGGCCGAAGGTCCCAGTGACACAATTATCATGCGTAACCGCCACTCATTTCGGCACACCACTCACACGCTTCGTAGCCGCATAGGAGCTCTGCCGAATGCCCCATTGGCACAGCCCGCATGCGTCGCCTACACGCATTTCTGTACAACCCTCACACGTTTCGTGGCCTCATATCGATTTCCACCGAAGCTCACCGTGGCGCAGTCAGCATTGTGTAGCTAGTGCTCGTTCGCGTTGTGTACCACGCCATTCATTTCGGCACGCCCCTGGCGCGGTTCGTTGCCTCACAGGGGTCGCCGCCGACAAAACTAATCACAATTGCTGTGCTCACACCTGCATACGGTCGGACCCTTCGCCAGGCTGGGATTTGCAGTGGGGTGGGAGGGCGGGGAAGAGGAGGATGAGGAGGAGGAGTGTAGGAGGGCAGGAGGTGGGGGAGAGGAGTAGGAACGGCTGGCTGCAGGAGGTCGACAGGCAAAGGCGAACAAAGGGCGCGGACGGAGGGGGGGGGTGACAAGGATCGGCCAGCGAGGAGGATGGCGCGGAGTGGGCTCAGGGGGGGAGTAGGAGGACAACGAGGATTCCTATGCACCCAGACAGACAGCTTCGCGTTGGCGATCTTGCCGCGCAGCTTTCTCTTTTCGGCGACGCATCGCCGACGCATGCTCTGTGCGCCCAGCCTCATTCGCGCGCAGGCTGGGCACGGTCGCCTGACACAACCTCTTCGACGGATGGATCCGTCGCGGTGCTTGCACCAAACAGATTGCCACTCTCCCTTTACGGATAATCGTGTCCCTCTCCATCTCACACATTCACTCATTCACTCACGATAAGGTGTTTGGGCCCCGGAGGTGGGGCCCCGAAGTGAGCCCGAATGTGTAACCTCAAAGGGCCCCCCGAAGAAGGTCTCCAGAGAGATGATAGATACGGTCTCAAAGGTCTCCAGAAGGTCCCCAAAAGGTCTCAAAGGTCTCCAGAAGGTCTCATAAGCTCGAACAACGAGGGCACCCCCGAGGGCACCGCCCGAGAGGGCCACCGACATCGGCGATCTGTTTGGCACGTAACACTTGTGGCTCAAGTTATTGTGCTTTCTGAGCTGCGGTTTCAACGCACAGCCAACCGTGTTTGTGAATGGTTGATGACATGGATCTTCAGGCTATTTCGTTTGTTCGCACCGTGAACGTTTCAAGGGCAGCATCTTCCAGCCCTGATTGGGCTGGTGCACCAGTTAAGACAATTGGCGGTGTTGATTTCATCGAGTTGGAGAAAAAGATAAAGGTGCCACTGGTTGGATGACTGGATATCGTGCGTACTCGACTGATGCGGCAAACGTAATTAAGGAGATATGTGACATACAGCACAAGGCGACCATGGATGAGCTTGGTCAAGATGATGGCGACTGTGACGAGGAAAAAAAGCAATGTCTAAGCACCGCGAGAAGACGCGGCCCAAGGCACTGAAACAACTGTGCGATGGAGCTACATCCGATGTTATTGAGTGCACACTTCCACAGTTCAAGTTGGATGATATTGTTGTTGATCAGGTGAGCACTCAGATGCCGTTGGGTTTGGGCGCAGTCAAAGCTATGGCACCCATTCGGCACGATGTCATGCAATGGGTGTACCTCCGCGCTCAATTCTACAAGCACGAGGCCAAGAAGGCCACGGATGTCTCGTCACGTGAGGATGGGGTCGGTGAAGCGGTGCGTCTGAGAAAGAAACAACGGTGCAGTGATGCGGCCAGCGCTTCAAGTGCAGTCGACCTTGGTGAGTCGTAGGCAGCCGTGCACATCAATGTATGGGCAGGCGCGTGTGAAACATGATGACACGTGCAAAACATGCGCGTGAAAAAATCACACCGAATGATGGTGGTGAGCACGAGGAACCATTGTGATGTTAATAAATAGCATTAGGCTGGTCCTATATACAGTGGCGAGGAAAGGATGACTGTGATTATGATGATGATGATCTGTACGATAATACGTAATTTGAGTGTTGATCGTGATGGAGGTGGTGGCAATATACCAGCTATAACATAAAGTCACTGGCTGAAGAAATACTGTGTTCATGCACAAAATACACGCACAACGTAACGGTCAGTGGCTCACATACAACAACTGATGCTATGTATCAGCTCTTCTCAAATCAACCAGGTATTCTCAAATCGAAACCCTAGGTCGACACATATCGACCAAGTGTTCTCAAATCGAAACCCTAGGTCGACACATCTCGACCAAGTGTTCTCAAATCGAAATGGTTGGTCGGATTATGTCGGCCAAGTATTCCCAAATCGAAATCTTAGGTCGACGCGCATCGTCCGCACATTATCTATATAGTCATCGATCACATACATTTCTAAGACGTGATTCACATCACCCATCATATAATTCAGCATCCACATGTATGTATCATATCCGTGCGAGTGGCGTGCCGAATGGCTGTGGCGAGCGCACGTGGGCTGTACAAATCGGGCTTTCGGTGGATCATGTGCCCGCGAGAGTGTGAGGGGCGTGCCAAAGTGGACGCGGCAGGCGCACGTGGAAGGTGTCAGCGGGATGTTTGGTGGAGTTACTTTTGTGACCACGAAACGTGTGAGGGGTGTGCCGGCATAGGTGTGACAGACGCATGGTGAGTATCCGTGGCCAGTCTGGCTCAAGCAGAGGTTGGCGACCACAGCACACATTGCCTCGCTAAGTTGAAACTAGTTCGTGCTATTACATGACTACGCTCAACAAGTTAGTAGCTGAAATCAACGGCAGTATCAAATTGGTGAGTGTGCAGGAACAGCTCGGATCAACACCTCAGCGCATCAACCAGCTCAAGTGCTCCCTTGTAGCTTCACTATGCGAGATGGTAAAAACGCTTATCGAGCCACTCACCAGTGATTCGGCAACGACTGTGCTTGAATTAGTGATCAATACGCCTTTCGACCATACACAGAAAACCAGCTCTCCGATGCAATCGAGGCGAAGCTACTGAAGTCGAGAGTTGTTGATCGGATTTCGGCGACAGAAAAACAAGGGTTGGGCAAGCTCCAAGTCTACGGTATTGAGCTATTTCACCGCCAAGGATTGGGAGATCATGGGCAACCCTGACACTGCCTTCAACGACCAGGCTAAGATCATGTGCGCGGTCAGCAGGCTTGTCCGTGGAGGCATGTTGAAGCCCTCTCCCCCAGTGTGCGCCGACGTTATCGCTGCGTTGGCCGCCGCTACGTGGACGGGCTCAGTGGACGAAGTGTTGCTCTACAACGAGGTGCACAATCTATCTCAAACCTTCGCGAGTTGGGAAACCGACCCCAGTGCCAACGACCTGCCCATTGTCAGGAAGTGGCCTGACTCGCCACATGACTTGCCGCCAGAGGTGGCACGCGCAATGTACCCCGACCCCGCCGATCAACCAGTGGTTGTAGCGATCCAGATGTTCACCAAGGTGAGGAAGGTAACTAGCTGCAGGAACACCAAGGCTGTCATTCGGGACAAGGTCAAGCCTAAGTCTCAGAGTAGCGCCCTTGTCGTTGCACATCCTCAGCCAGTTCAGCCTAGTGCAGGAGTTAACTCTACGAGTTTTGCCGCCAACATCGGTGCCCTCCTTGAGTCGGCCCAGACGATTGGACTCAACCCTACCCAGATCGCCCAGATGGGAGCGCAGCTCTTCATGCAAGGTGTCCATCCAGCTGGCCGTCCAGAGCCAGTACCCGAGTGTGGCCTCAAGTTTTTTGACAAGGGTGCGCCGCGCAGGTCTAATGGAGGCGAGAGGGATTCGCCCAATCATGGCTCACCGAACCAGTCGGGATCAGGAGATTCGCCTTCCGTGCCACCCAGCTCGCCATCACTACCTGCACTTCGTGCACCAGAAGAAACCAGTGGCCATGCCCTGCCGCATCTCGTCGGGGACACATCTGCAGCTGCGTTGCAGAATCTTGACCTACTCGGCAGCAAGGCCAAGACGGCAGATGACGATGCAAAGAAGATGGTCGAATCGATGGAGGCAGAACACCAAGCTCTCTTTGCCAAAGCGAAGGAGGCGGCCGCTACAGAGAAGGCCATTGGAGCTGCTGCAGAAGCAGCTGCTGTCGCCACTGGCAAGAGAGGCAAGACACGCAAGGTCATCACGTGCAATTCTACTGTGGTAATGAAACGGCCCGCTGCAAAGATGTCTGCTGCTGGTGCAGCAGCTCGCCCGTCGATGCCAGATACAGGCAGCGTATTGCACTTGGGCGGTCGCATCCTGATCGCGCCGACCAGGAAGGCGTGGAGGGTGTGGCCGAATAAGGACCGTGTGACGATCGAGAGGCAGGTCGCATTCGGCACGTGCATGGAGACATCATTCGGTTTGGCGTGTGGCCTCACCGATGCGTATTGGAAGGCGCAGAAGAAGTGAGGCTTCGCCAGTTTCGTTTGCTAACCTTTGCTTGACACAATTCAGATTTCCGCTGGGGTTGGTCGCAGTAATGCCCATTGGGGAAGCGACCTGTTGTCGTGACAACACATGCGCCGTTTTGACGGCAGTACACGCACGGATTGCGTTTGATACAATCATTGGCGAAGCCACTTTCGCATTGAAAGGCCGTCATCATCATGCACCTCATGGGCTCGTTCACCCCGTTACCTCCCTTGTCAGCCGATCTTCGGCATCATTCATATTCATACTTGTGCGTGGTATCGTTCATCATTTCATCAATTGTCATATTAATACGCTTCCCCCTATTCCTAGGCGTCCTACGACTAACTATCATCACCGTCTGCACCATCATCATGATGCAAATCCCACCAGCCATCTGTGCGCAGGTGGTCTAGGGCGTTTACCTGTCCAACCTCCTGCCTGTCCCTGCTCGGGAGGTTCACCCCCCCTCACCCCCTGCGTTTGGACGGGGGGGGGTGGACCCGTAGCAGCGTCCAAGATGGCCCGCTGGCTCCAAGAGGGCCTCCGAGAGCGCAATATGGCATCCAAGATGGCCCAAGATAGCTGTAGACGGGTCAATATAGCCTCCGACACGGGTCCAAGAGGCCTCAAGTCGGCCCCAAGACGGTTTCACATGCACCCCAAGGCCTTCAAGGACCACCCCAAAAGACAACAATCATTCAAACACCTAAGGAAAATCAATGTGCTGTTGCCTTCTCGTGGTTTCGCCTCCGAAGGGCTGTTGGGGCCCCAAGATGGCCGCCAGATAGCCCAAGGCAGCGCCAAGATGGGTCCACGACAGCACCAGGACTGCCCCAAGAGCGCACCAAGAGCGGGCCAATATGGTCCTAACACTGCATTTTTGGGCACCCGAGGGGTGGTGCACGAAGTGGGGTGGCACACCCTTCCTTAGCTATAAGGACAAACCATGCCCCGAAATGCCTCACATAACACACCCAAAGAGCACCAATAGGGCTCCAGGATTATTCAACTTAGCACCAATATGGCCACGCAAATGCCACACAAGGGCCTCAAGAAGCCCCAAGAAGGTATCAAAACTAACGTCAGGAGAGCACCAAGAAATAGCACCATGCTGCCACCAGAGGTGCACAAGAAAACCCAGCGAGGGCCCCGAGATGCCTCCAAGTTTCGGAACGCACGCGAGTTTAAGATACAAATCAACGCAACAGCAATTACGAGCAATAGAAATACAACTCACCTCTCATCAAAGCAACAGTGTAAGTTGCACTCATGTACATGTTAAACTTCAATGCTGGAAAGTATGCGTGATGCGTGTGTTCTCGAAGACGGCTGCGCGACTGCATGTGCTCTGCCGCCACTGATTCACCAACTCCCCTGCTGGTAGTTCCTGGATGGGATGGTGTGGATACGCGAAGCGTCAGACATTTTCCTTAGCATCGGTTTCACTAGATTGTTCATCATGACGCGTGGCACCTCACGACAACCCGACAGTACCTTAATATATCACGCCTCTCACGCACTTCGCGCACATCAGGAACGTGGTGCAGGGTGAATACGCGGATGAGTTACCTGAATGATGTGAGCTGGGTAACCAATAACTAAAATACACGACACGCATGCACGACACTCATCGATCATGTCTCGAGGTGTCACGCGCAACGCGCGTCACGATACCGTAGCAAGTGATGTCGAAACGCATGGTGACCAAGCATTTCGATTTGAGAACACCTGGTTGTCGATCGTCGACCAACCATTTCGATTTGAGTACAGTTGGTCAATTATATATAATAAGATATCTAACTACTAACATGGAGAATATACTGTTTGATGCGTGATCTGAGCTCTGGTCACATCATCATCATGCATACCCCTCATCACTACATTTATTCATCACTCTCAACCCTCCCCACCATCATCAATTTGTCATACAGCATCATCATACATGTCTCATCACCATCACTCATCTCACCCTTCGTAGTCCTCTTCAGTCCTCCTCCCGCATCATCACCACCCACCCACTTCATCGCGGTTTCATCATCGGTGCGGTGCGACACGCTTGCGCCGTGTATATGCAGTAGAGATACCAATGCAACATAATGTGGCGTGAACACAAATATATCGCTCTCCCTCACTCTCTATTTCATTCTCTCTCGTTGGCTGCAATATTGCCATACATATTAGCGGTGGAGCGCATGGGCTGTGACGTTATGGGTAACTTGGTTTTTTGCAAGTAATGGTTGACTGTGGTTGGCCTTCTTGTCTTGCCAGCCTTCCGCAAGTCGGCGCAATATGATTCCAATATTGCACGGTACTGCACATTGAGCCCAAAAGTGATGCCCAAAAGAACCCGAGAGTGCCCCCCAAGATTGCCCAATATGCTCCAAATGAGCGGCTGGTGCGCACAGACGTTACCGTATCACACCTCAGCACTCTAACTATCAATGCTTAGCCATTTTGGCTCACATGGAGCGGCACTCCAAACTCAGAAAGATTGCAGCAACACGCGCGTCACCCCCACACGTTTCTCAATCTGCGCTGAGTGCGCTCATTGCAAAAGCCAGCAATGGTGAGCTTCCAGATGCATGTTCCACTGCAGATATCAGGGCTGCCCGAAAGCTAGAGACCGATGTCGTCACGCCCTACGGGCCGTTGCTGACTAAGGTTGCGCGGGTGGTCCTAAACACGCTGCGATTGCATTTGGTGCGACTGTTCGCGTCGAGGGCCAGACCTAGGCACAGTTGTGTTTTCCCTAATTCCCAACCAACCTGTGTTGTTAGGTGCTCGTTTTGAAGAGACTGTCACCGCGTCTCCTCATCATTCTCCTCCCCGCTCCCTCCTCTCACCATCATCATCGTTGCCACCCGCGTCATCAGCATCATCATCGTCATCGTCATCGGCATCATCGTCGACACACGCTCCGTGGCCCCATCGGAGATCCGCCGAAGGTCCCAGTGACACAGTTCGCACGCGTCACCGCCATTGATTTCGGCACACCACTCATACGTTTCGTTGCCTCATATGAGCTCCGCCGAAGGTCCCAGTGGCACAGTTCACATGCGTTCCCGCCGCTCATTCAAGCTCACCACTCACACGCTTCGTGGCCACATAGGGGCTCCAACGAGGGCCACAATGGCACAGTTCGCATGCGTCCCCGCCGCCCATTTCGGCACACCCCTCACACGTTTCGTGGCCTCATAGGAGTTCAGCCGAAGGTACCAGTGTCACAGTCCGCATGCGTCACCGCCACGCATTTCGGCACACCCCTCACACGTTTCGTTGCCTCATATGAGCTCCGCCGAAGGTCCCAGTGGCACAGTTCACATGCGTTCCCGCCGCTCATTCAAGCTCACCACTCACACGCTTCGTGGCCACATAGGGGCTCCAACGAGGGCCACAATGGCACAGTTCGCATGCGTCCCCGCCGCCCATTTCGGCACACCCCTCACACGTTGCGTGGCCTCATAGGAGTTCAGCCGAAGGTACCAGTGTCACAGTCCGCATGCGTCACCGCCACGCATTTCGGCACACCCCTCACACGTTTCGGTGCCTCATATGAGCTCCGCCGAATGTCCCAGTGGCACAGCTCACATGCGTCCCCGCCGCTCATTTAGGCACACCACCCACGCGCTTCGTGGCCCCATAGTAGCTCCAACGAGGGTCCCAATGGCACAGTTCGCATGCGGCTCAGCCGCTCATTTCGGCATACCCCTCACACGTTTCGTGGCCTCATATGAGTTCAGCCGAAGGTACCAGTGTCAGATTCCGCATGCGTCACCGCCACTCATTTCGGCACACCACTCACACGTTTCGTGGCCCCATAAGGAACTCCACCGAAGGTTCCCGCGGCGCAGTCCGCATGCGTCTCCCTCACCCAGTACAACGCTTCTTGGCCCCATATGAGCTCCACCGAAGGTTCCCGTGGCGCAATCAACATTGTTTTGTTTGTGTTCGTTCGCTTTGTGCGCCGCGCCGCTCATTTCGACACACACCTAGCACGGCATGTTGCCTCATAGGGATCACAGCCGAAAAACATGAATCACAATTGCGGTCACCACACCTGCATATGGTTGGGTCCCTCGTCAGGCTAACTGTTGGGGGCAATTTGGGAACACATGATTCACGTTCGAGCGTGCATCAGCAGGGGGGTTCATGTCGGATTTATACATAATCAAAGCCACCTGTGTTCATGCATGCTCGAACATGATGTCATTCCTGCTACGTGCAGTTTGCTTAGATTGTACGCTGCTCGGTGTAATCGTTGCGTGGTGGGGCCACCCTGCGAGATTCAATTGACAACGGCATGCGGGGCATTGCTGGACGTTGAGATCGCCGACCCTCTGCCCATGATATACGCGGCTGCGGGTTGCGAACGGTACGCTGCCGTGCTCCGACAAGCGCACGATAGGAAGCCGAGTTCCGTGCACGACCCTTGGCGTCTCATTGTTTACAGTGATGAGGCACAACCAGGGAATAAAATTAAGCAGTTGAACAAGCGAGCAATGGAATGCATATATATTGCGTTTCTGGAATTCGGCCCTTCCGCTTTATCAAAGGAAGATTTTTGGCTATGTATCGGAGCCGTCAAATCCACTGGCGCTCAGCAGTGCAACTCTGGCATGGCGCAACTGGTGGGGCAAATCCTCAAGCGCATATTTCAACCATGTGGGTTTGATTTGCGATTTTCAGGCTGTAGCACCGACCTTCCCGACGGATCGAACATTCGAATCATTGGCAGGTTAGGCGTGATGTTGGGCGACGAGGCAGGTTTGTACGCAACTTGGGAATGCAAGGGGTCAGCAGGCGTTGAACCATGTTGCCAATGTTTGAATATTGTTTCTAGTAAATGGATTGGGGCGACCCAGTTGTGCGCAGCTGATTCATTAAAGGATATTTCGGCAGTGTATTATTTTGATGATTGCTTGCTTCACACTCGTGAGACAATCTTGTACATCCTAGAAGATTTACAACAGCAGAAACCACCA